TACTTGAGAAGTGAGTCGAGGCAGGCCACAACTACAGGGGTGCGGTTGTGCTAACTTTTGTCTTGGCCCTGAACTGCGCAGCACTTCCGCGTACACAAACAATCCGACACACAACCACTCATAATATCATCTTATTACTCACTGACAGTAATGCGCACGCAAATGCATCAGAATATTATTAGCTTTAATTTTGTTTGTAGGCTTTTTTTTTTTGGGTTTGTTTTTTTTTTTCTTGTTTGTTTTGTTTTCTGGATTTGGTTTTAACCTTTCTCTTGCATGTCATAACATTTTATTTTCCTTTCAGCTTGCAGTAACTCATGAACTCACTTACAGTTTTTTTAGCAGCACGGTAACAGCAGTTTCTTGAATCTCTCCTGTATGGACAACACAGTAACAGCTCATCACACGCATCCTTTGCATTGCTTCACCATGAGAATCTAAAGGAGACCACGCCAGCAACACAAGCGCACGCACGCAACATGCACGCACGCATTTAAAAAAAAAAAAAGCACATGAACACCACCAACAACCTGACGTAAAAATAACAAAGGGAAGCCTCTATATTTGGTTCTCCAAACTGCCTTTGTCAATGGTTTTTCATTCATTTAAGATTTGTCTTTTTAATTTGAAATATTTATGTAAATGTTCACATTCAAATGTTTTCATCATGACACAATCCGACAAAAGAAAACTGACCTCACAAAATAACTGGACTGCCTAGCTGTTGGTTCTGTTTTGCAGGGATAGTAAGGGGTGCTGAGACCCTGATCTCAGCCCCTCTAGAAACATTAACTCTATCGACTAAAACCATATATCAAGACTTTAACAATATATGGAAGTGCCTCTGTATTCCCTTCATGCAACTAGTAATAAACTTCAGGTTTCCTTCCCGCTTAAAAGCTCCTGGGAATGTTAGCGTCTGTGCATGGGTTGACCCCTTGGCCTGGGACAGATCTTTATAGAGGACCGCAACCCTTTTTTTTTTGTAAAGACAGAGAGAGATCTTATACATATATATTTATGAGATATGCTCCTTTTTAACTTTTACTACGCAGGCTTCTTGGCAGTCTAGTTATTTTCTGAACTAACATCCTCCACCCCACTCACAACCCGTTTCAGTAGCTTCACCTTACTGTTACGAATCAAACGACACACGCCATCGCCATCTGCAGCTCAGCGTTATGATACCTAGATGAACATGTCAAAAAATCGACATTAGGTTTGAAGAAAAGTGTTTGTTTTTTGATGGAAAGTATTATTATTGAAAAATATGTGTCGATTGAGCCACGTGCAATGCATTGGGTAGATCATTGTGTTTGTCTGTTAGAGATTTTTAAGAAAGCTAAAAGAAAAGAGAAAAAAAAACTTTTTTGTTTTAAAGTCCATAAGCTCCGGGACTCTAAACTAGAGGGCCATGAAAAATCCTAGTCTTTGTAAGTTGGGGGTATTTGTTTTTATTTCCTTTGTCTCTTTTTTTAATGTTTATGTGTAATCATTTGTTTAGAAAAATGTGGGAGGGCTGAAGGAAAAAATAATCTACACAACTTCGAAAAAAAAATCTATCATCAGATGAAAACTGGTGCTTTAACGCTATAAAGTACTTTCAGAAATATTATAAATAAACAAGATAACAGACCATTTAGGACCAGCATTATTCCTCTCTCTATTTGTATTCTTCTCTTTGTATTGATTACGGGGGAGAGGTTCCTATTCCTCAAGGTTGTGACGCAAAAGGCATTTTGGTTCAACCTTTAGAAAGAAATTAGTAGAAAATCTACTGTCGAGCCTACGCCGAAAATGTACCCATGCACTGCCTGAAAATCACCAGCAAAAGCAAATCAACCCTCCCAGTTGAAAGAATTTTTTCCCCCACATTTATCAGAATAAACATATGACAAGTTCCTCCCTGCCCTGTGGGAGATGCTTCACATCCAGAAACCTTTTTATTCTCATTCTCATTACCTTATATGTGTGTGAAAACGCGAGCTTGACGAAACTCAGCCGGTCGTATTGAGACATTCAATGCTTAAATGGAGTGGGTATGACGCTGAGACCTTCTGTACAGATAACAGAAACGGAAAAAGGGGCAAAAAGTAGCTCATAATCCAGGCAAAAATTTGGGGTCTGAGCCATGAAACAGGCAGCAAGGTGAGCCTCTCCCCTGTTCCACCCCCTCTGTAAATGATTCTTATAGTGCTTGTGCTGTAGTGTATAGTTTCCCAGCAGTTAAAGGTTGTCCCTTGAAAGTGCCTTTTGTTCACAGACTCCATTTTGTAATCCAGATCGCCCCTTTTTTTTCCTTTTTTTTTTTTTCTTCCCAAAATGGCTCAAAGTAGTTGGTGGCCCTGGGAGCTGCTCAGCACTCGGGGACAACTTCCTCCTCTGGCTTCGAACTGAATCCCCTCCTTTGTCCCCCCCCTTCAATCCTTTCTCCATCATCAAAGTTGTGTATCTATATGTTTATAATGGATATAGATATGCGCCTTTGTAAAGTACAAAAGGAAACTGGTGTGAATTAGTTCTTTACTTTTTATTGATAAATGACAAACAAAAAAAAATCGAAAAGGCAAAAAAACTTGTTCTCGTTCAGCTCTTGCTTTTTTCTTTTTCCTCTGTCTCCACTGTCTGTTTTCTCTTAGACACTGGAGTAGTCTGTAACTGTGTGTCCGTCACTCTCCGTCTCTTTGCGCGCTCTCTGCCGCCTTCTCTGCTGTCGAGAGAGGGAGGAGAGAGAAGGAAAAAAAAAAAAAAAAAAAAGAAAAAAAAAAAGATATTGCCGAAAAAAACTTTTTGTCTGAGCAGAATGCAGTTAGCTCACATGTTATTCTTGTCTGTATGCTTCACATTGTATTACCATACCCATCTTCTTCAGCTTCTCCATTCAGCAGCTAATGTAAGTGAACAAATTACGCTAATGGGCTTTTGGGGGTGTCCTTGGGTGGGGTAGGAAGGGACAACGGGGGTTCAAGGGGTTTTGGCTGTAAAGAGGTTTACGAAGAAGACAAATGGGGTCAAGAGGGCTGGATGAGCTGCTTTGGGAAGTTGGTAAGGGGCTGCTCAGACTAGGATAAGAGTTTGCTCTTTTGTTTTTAGCTATTTATATTTTGGCTTTGTTTGATTCCCCTTTTTGTTTTCCTTTAATTTGGATTTCTTTTTATTACTTACTATCAGGGTATGCTGTCATTTAGGCCCTCTTTGAGGATGCCTTGGACTGTAGAATGAAAGCTACAAGCACCTTATAACCGGACTTGTCCAGCATGAGGCTGAAAGAGGAGGTTACATTTTCCTGCATAAAATCCCATATCAGTTCAGAACTAAATCTTTAAAAGTCAAGTATTCTTGTTTACGGTGAGGTTCCATAGAGTGTAACCATCAGCAGTATTAGCCATTCACAACACACACCAACCAGAGAGCATAAAGGCCAACATCAACCCCGATCCCTGTCTTGATTTAAGAGGATTCGGGAAAGTCCCTCCACTTTTTCTCCTCTGACCACCTCATGCTGGATGGCTCCGTGTCTTTTTTCTGTTGTTTATTTTGTTCTTTATATTCTTAAATGTGTATGGTTATCAGTGAAACGGACAGCGCCCCATGCCCCCCCTGATTCCCAGCTCTTCAACGCCTCTGTCTGTACGCTCAGTGCAGCACCACTTTGTTGTGAGAACACCCCCAGAGCTCTAGGTGAAATGCATGTGTTAATTACAGTTTCTTTTCCATAAGAAGAAAAACACAGTTTGAGAAGAGCAAAACCTGATTGAATAAAAAGGATGTTCTTGACTGTACCACCTTGGTTCTGTGTCGTTTATTATTATGATGCAACATCTATAAAGATGCAAAAATAATCATATTAAAAGAATTACATTTTTAAAAGGTTGCTGCCAACTGACTTCCTCAACTCTCAGTATTTAGAAGCTTTTGTGCTCTTAGCCAAACCACCATCAGAGTTTTGAACACCACCTATTCGTGGGAATTTGTTGTTGTGTTTTAGAGGCTGACAAAAAACAACAACAAAAAACAAAACAAGAGGCTCTATAAGCCAACAAAAATGTCAAGGGACAAGGTGTAGTAATATCAGGCTCATATTCTAATGTACCTTGATATACACGATGAGCAAACATCCACACAAAAACATGAGAAAATGAATGAGCTTTCTGATTTTTTGAAGAATCTGAAACAGACGTGGATGTCAAATCCCTCCATGTGCATGGCCACATGCGCATGATAGATGGCACATCACAGCACCATTTATCGCAAGATGGCATTGAACCTTTCTCTTTAGAATTCAAAATTCTGAGATTCTGGCATAAAACGATTTGCAAAAACCCAACTAAAGACTTTTAGTTATAAGGAACTGATCTCCTTGTTTGTCGGTTATTGAATCGAAGCTGCATCTGTAGCAGGTTATGAATATTATACAACATTAATAAGACTGGGAGGGTTAACTTTTTTTTTTTTTAACAGCACTTTTGAACATGCTGTTGTCTATTTCTTGAGTATTCCATGAGTATTCTAACATGTTTTTGTATTATTACTACACAGAAATCAACACACAGTTGTCAGTTTTGGCCTACAAAGAAGAGAAAGACTAGTGATAAAGGTGCCACACATTGGCAACATCACTAAAAAGCTAAGCGGAGCAAAGTCACTGGAGAGCTAGAAACAATAAAGTAAACACTGAATCTGTTTCCATGATTAAATTGAACTAATTCTTGTCCTGTGTCTTACTCTGACTCATTTTTTTCTCATAGTACTATCATTGTTCCTGTATCTTGAGTTTTTTCCATAACTTTGTTTGCACTGACAACAGTGTAGCACACTAAAATGAAATTGTGAATATGTTGTTCCTCCAACCTATGCCTTTTATCCCTATAACTGACTTAGACAAGTGCACTCTCAAAGAGCAAAAAGCACACCCACTAATTCTGCTGATTCAGTGAACCCATGTGCTGCTGAGTTTCTTATAAAGCCATCAAAAACAAGCATGTATTTTATTTCGAAGCACACTTGATAACAAAAAAGAACAACTAAAACCAATTTAATTCCAAATTTAATTCATTTAATTAAACATCCCTCCATGAAAAATCTCCATCATAGATAAATGTTGTGTAAAATGACATAATTTGCCGAATTCACAAACAATAATAAATAGAGGCAAGAACATACATTAAATTAGAATTTACACAGAAATATGTCACCACAGGTTTTTCTTTACAGCTCATCATATACAGTCATTTTCAAGCAGTCTCCCAACTTCATATGCAACTCACTTTGTGGCAAGATTTCTCCCACAGCGGCTGGTTTGTCATATGTCAAAGCCAGGTCAGTTAGAACGTCCATATTAACACTGAAGATCCAGCTGTGTTGGCTGCAAGTGGTCTATACAGAGAGCCAATCGACTGTTCTGTCGAAGGATCAAAGTATGATCATATTGCATCTTTTGTGTTTTTCGCACAATTAGTTTCTGTGTGAAGTTTGGGTACTCTTCCTGTTTTCATACAAAGTGCTTTTACAATTCAAGCTACTTAAAGACATGCCCTCGTTCCTGCCTGCACCTTATTTTATGGAATTTTATTGGCAATGGGAAGCAATGAAGGGCATTGCATAAGGACAATGACTGAGATTCTGGGAAGCTGGTGGAAACAGTGATGGTCCGATTCTTAGACAGCTGCTCTTTCTCTCGAGCTACAGTCACTATTTAGACTTTACATTACCGATATGTAACAGTTTTCCATTCTCCAGTTAAATAAATATGAAAGAGGCTGTCTGAAAATGACAGCATGCTTACTGGTTGTAATTCAATATAGAATAAATTGTTTACCTGTTCATTTTAGCTACATACAGAACTTAAGATGGACTCCCATATGATAAGCCTCAGTCCGTCCTCTGAGTTTTTAAAAATGGAAAAGGCAATAAAACTGAGCAGATAACTTCAAATAGCATAATTCTGGAAATAGCAACTCGATCATTTCAAGTCACTCGGTCCTCTTCAGTTGCCAGGTGGATTCTCTTCTGTAGTCTCAGGCATCTGGAAACAAGAATATTAAATCAAGCCACACTTTCTTAAAAAGCACTGAGGGAAATGAGACAAGTACCAGCTGAATCACACCTGTGAGGTTTCCATTCCCTGTGATTCGGGGTTGGCTTCCTGCACTGGCTGGTTTTTCTTTTCATCATCAGACACATCCTCTTGTCCATCTGCTTGTACGGAATGACTTCCATTTTGCTCTGCGAGCGGAGCTGGAGCCATCATGCTCTGGATATGTACACACATTTTCCGATTACATCTTTTGAGGGTCTCGTATCGGTTTAACCCCAAACTGAGGAGACGGTTACCTGAGAATGGTGCGAGGTCTCATTTGAACCACACGTCTCTTGGATTGGAGGTTTTCTGTTCCATGGGATTGCAGCATGTTGAGGACAAGGTGGAGGGGGGACAGCGGGGAGGCTGGTTCCACGCTTTGGAGGTGGGGGTGGAATTTCCCTGTCCTAAATGTAAAAACTTTAGCATTAAAGTCTAAATCGCAGGGATAAAGTCATACATTTTTTAAAGCTCAAACAATGAATGAATGAAAACATAAATGACACATTTTCATTTCTAGATTTTCAACCAGTAATAGAAGAAGAAAAATTACAATCATAAACCAAACCTAATATCTTCACCATTTTCTCACGCAATCCAGAGCATCACAACCTCAGTCATTTGCAGTTTTACACATTTTGCTCATTCTAAGGACAGCAGCCCATTTAAATACCCAACTATCTACATAAAGGGGCATAAACCAATAAACTGGTTGCATTTAATCATGATAGTTTACTCAAATTAATGGTGCGTTTTAATGAAATTAAATGATAATAATCCTCTGAAGTGACTTAAATAGATGCTTAAAGTGGTGTAAGGTCCACAGTAAAATAATGTAAAAGTAAAAGTGTTCAGCTAAGTTGAAGAAAAACATGAGGTAGCTATTTCACTTTAAGGGTTACCTACGTTTTGACTTTTAAATGTCTAAAAATGTCAGTAATGATGGTGTCGATGCAAAATGCAGGAAATGGTGAACTAATGTCGCTTAAGAAAACGTTCACTAAACAATATTTATAATTCACCAATTTTAGCAATTTTAGCATCCTGTTAGAATGAACTGTTAGGCGGACGACTTCACAATAGAGCCCATAGTTAACACAAACACACATACACGTATATAGATACATATTCATATATATTTGAAATGAAATACTGACTGATCATTTCACAAGTCTTGTCTGCCGCTCCAGTTTAATTCTCACAGAATTTCCCAGTTTAATTCTTACAGAATTCTTACAGAATTAAACTGAGTAAAGTCGAGTTGGTTGACATGCAAGTCATGCTAGGCTGGGCATTCTTTTTCCTATCGGTCTACTTACCATTTACTTAATCTTTTATTCCCCCAAATTTATCTAAATATCGAAAGCAGAAACAGCAAGTTAAAATAGTACAATCTGGGCTTAATCAGAAGACACTTGGCAAAATGACAGCTAGTCGAGTCTAAATCACGCCGCCGCTTCGGTGCTAGTGCCACTGGGTTAATACGGAAGGTGTGAATGGCCAAAATAGTGTAACAAATAGTTTTTTTTTGTCTTTTGCACAAAGTTAAAGTAATTTGAAAGAGCGAATACTTTATTTACCTTCTAGTATTTTTTTATCTATCTATCTATCTAGAACTTCAAATGGCTGGAGATCTAAATCCGAAGATTAGTAATTATATGTAGGAAAAATTTTGTTGTGATAAAGAATAAAGGTGTTCATACGAGATACCAACTTTCAAGCTTACCAGGAATATACAAACTCTACTTTACTGAAATGTCATTTTTAATTTAGCATTTGCTAACCTTTTTAGTATATTGCTGCCAAAATGTCTCGATGGTTATTGTGCTTTGTATGGTTTTAGGGGGATCGTCAACATTATTTTTACTCAATAACCGAGGTTCTATGTTGTATTATTTCAAAACTCAGGAACTGCAGGACCACAGAACTGGTAAATTTGGGTATGATTATTAAACTATGTGCAAATAAACGTTGTTCACCCGATATGTTTTAGTTGAGTACTTTTTTTCCAATATCAACTCTTATTCTGAAGGTACGATGTGGCGGAAGGGAAGCCTATCTGACAGCGATACTTCCGGTGCATATTTTATGTAAACATAGCAAACAGCTGGACCCGCATATATAACGTGCTACTCTGTGCGATACCAACCGTGAGCGCAACTGCACAGCATTTTGGTGTTTATTCCACCGAAGTGAGTGGAGTCCATTCTCCCGCCTGTTCCCCGACAAGTTTTGCACGGGATGACGGCAAACTAACAGCTGCGAGCTAAGCTAACGTCAAGAGTGTCTTAGCTCCGGTTTACGCTCTTGACTGCCTACCCCCCATAAAGAGGTGCACTCTCTCATGGTGGTCTCAGGTCAATGGGGAACTGTCTGTTTTCGCAAGGTGCGGATGACCTGTCTCTGTTGAACGATTCAGAGGGTGGTAGTCTGCCTGGGGAGCCACCGCCGCCCTACCAGGTGAGCAGCCAGGCGCTCAACCCATAAAGTTGAAATAAAGATGGACGTATCTCTATGTTGGGTCAATCTGATGCCACAGGCTTGTGATATTTTAATTTGAGTTCAATTTGTATATCTCGTATCTTTTTGAAAATGACAAGTTTATAAAGATAAATGTGGTTGCAGGCAGACGGTTGATTATCCAGAACAAAGTAATCAGTCAGACTTTATAGTGATTTAAAAATGTTATTCCCCCCTAAACTTCCAGGTCTAAACAGCCTTTGTATCATTTTAACTACTTTACTGTTAACAGCAATGGCGTCCCTAAAATTCAAATAAATTTAGTGATTTGGAGTCTAGCTTTGTCAGGCCACAGTTAACTGGCCAGTTGTTTGATGGAGATTTATCACAGCCATATATTTATCTAGAAATATGCTTTACCATATGGCCTTCTATCATAACCTCCTTATGATAGATTGTGTTTTAACATATCAGAGCGCACCTGTACAAATATATTTGTTTTCTTCACACTGTCATCTTTAGAATTTTCATACTCAAAAAATGTTTTCTGTTTAGGTGTTAGTGATGGCCAATGTTAGACCTTTCAATCAAACATCTTCCAGCCTGATCTACCATTTTGTTTGTCATGTTTTTAGTCTCCCTGTACTTTCACATTGCTTTGAGCTCTTTGTCCAAAGACTTTGATCCTTTCCTTGGTTGTCCTGCAAGTTTCCCTTTTGCAGCCTTCCACAATTTGTTTAGATATGATTTTTTTTACACTGCTGACTCGAAGAAGCCAATATCTGTTTCCGTCCTCTGTGTTGGATTGCTTTGCTTCCAGTTCATTTGCTACTGCAAAAAAAAATTCCATTCCAGTCTGAAAGATCTGTTTTTTATGTGAAAGCTAATAGGCATAATTTTTTTCTCTTTTATGTCCTAGAGAAGTTTTCAAAGTTTTTCAGGAATTTTTTCAGGGAGATACTCCTGGGTCGACATTGACACTGTAAAGAGACTAGTTTGTTTTGTGTGACAGAACATTGGAGAGTTTCAACTCGAGAACATTATCAATATTTATTAAAAAACAAACTGTGTACCGCAATCTTCTGTTATTATTGGCAATTTCTTCTACATTAGAAAAAGAGTCCAGTTGCCTACTACGATGAAAATTTTCAGCATTTCAGGAGAGATATGGAGTCAAGTTGCTCAGAAATATTTTTATATATTGGCAGTTTCAGAACCACTCACCATAATGTAATCTCAAATTAATCACTGTCATCAAAGTGTTCTTAATCCTTCCCACCTAGATAGCACCAATGTGAATAATCAAATCAAGCTCTAGCTCCCTGTTACACTATCTTTCTTTACCTTTGTGAAGCAAACTCCAGAGTATCAGTGCTCTGAAACTACTTGCGATTCAGGTAGTTTTGTGGCCAACACAAATAACTTGTCCTGGATTTTTTCATACCCCTGCCTTTTTTTCCCCCATTTTTATTAGAGTGCAGGATTATTATCTTGTTGTCTTTAGTATGTTGTGCTCTACTGTGAAATAAAGAGTGAGGTGGTTATTTTATGTTTTTTCTTGTCCAGGAGCACACCCAGCCTGTGCCAGTGTTCCACCCCCACCCAGGACAGAGTCGCCTTGCCAGCCAGCTGACCGAGGAGGAGCAGATCCGCATCGCCCAGCGAATCGGACTCATCCAGCACCTTCCCAGAGGCATCTTTGACCCGGGCTCCGACCCTTCTGATAAGAAAGTGAAAGAGTGAGTCCAAAACGAATTATAAGCCCACGTAACCTAATTAGATAGTTTAATTTAGACTAACCCTCATCGGATTCTCTCCCATCCAGATGTGTGATCTGCATGATGGATTTCGAGTATGGGGATCCCATCCGGTTCTTGCCCTGCCTTCACATCTACCATGCGGACTGCATTGACCCCTGGCTGATGCGCTCCTTCACCTGCCCTTCCTGCATGGAGCCAGTGGACGCGGCCCTGCTGTCCACGTATGAAACCAACTGAGTAGCTTCCGCCCCGGGCGGATGCTCCTGCCTAGAAGAATGGCAACTTTGCTTTTTTCTCAAAATGTTTGTGTATCTAGCCAAATCTGTCCTAGCTGCTCTGAAGTCAGGCGACGTTAAAATGGGAGTTGCGTGTCGCTCGGAGACATCCACAGTAGGACCTTGTGCCAAACTCTGCGCAAATAGAAAATCAACGTGTCATGAATTAAACAAAAAAAAAATGGAAATAAATTCCCTTTTCGAGACAGAATGTGCAATATGTTACATCGGTAGGAGGAAACTGTCGCAGTAAAATAATTGTCTGAACCACCGCAAAAAATCTGAAGTGAAATTACGATGTGCCTTGACAGGAAACTTTGAGGTAGAAAACGGTCTGGTCTGGAATGTCACTAGAAACACAGACGGAAGGGACATCTTTTTATCGTCACAATCTCCCTTCACTTTTGGCATCCATGACCAGAATATCGTGGTGTCATTTCTGCTTTTGAACTTGTTTAGAGGCTTAAGAGGTTTGTCGTGTGGATTCTTGCTTAAAGCTGCTTTTATAAATGTGAATTTATTATGGCTCTTCGACTTTGCTATGCCTTGGGTTTGCTCCCTTTGACGTGTTTTTAAAACCTGGTCTTTGAATTTCTCGACATAGTTTACCTTTAGTAGCATTTTTGAAGAGGCGACATGCTGTGCAATCCCCCTTAAAGCACCTTGGAATTCCCCATGTCTAAAACTTTGTAGCCCGTAGATTGCATCTGTGTTTTTATATGTACTCGCGTAATAGAGCAAGATTGCAAGAGACAGAGTAGCAACAGAGCCATCTTTGTAGAAAACAGTTATGTAGTCTCTATTTTCTTTTTTTTTGTATCTGTGTGAAACTGTTGGGTTTTGCTTTGTGCTGATAAACATCAGATTTTGTTGCAGGAAGCCTGATAAAAAGACAATGCCGTTGGCTCTTTAAGGTCCTGCGTAATCTAGTGCTGCTCATGCACCATATGTACAGCACAACAAAGTAAAACGGGATAAAGGAAAGTACAGCGGTAGAAAGGAATGTATTCTGAAAGTAAAGAGTGATTTTTAGTCGTTAGAAATCAAAATTGCCAGCGTGATTTTAAAAAGAGGACATTTCTGATTTACCGTGCACTGCCAGTGCCTTTTTTGATGGTGATTCAAGCCAATTCCTGTGAAGTACAATCATTTCTGATATCAGTTTTGTCTTTCTTTAGTCATCCTCCAGGAGGAGACAGATTACCGGCATTGTGCTGAAAACTGTTCTCACACGTGGAGAGAGAGTTTGGTTCCAGTTGTTAGTCTTTTTTTAATCCTTTGCAGTTGATGATGAAGCATGCCCCTCACAGCAGGATACTTCCAACAAGAGTGGGCATACCAGAGGTAGAGTGTGCCTTAGGAGACTCTTTATTGCGTTCATGGATCTGAATGTATCCACAATAGCAAATGGAAAGAAACACACAAGTCGTCAGAAGAAAGCACGAAGCAAAAGCCTGTATCACACACACTTGTAAAGGCACAAAAAAAACGATTCTAGCAGAGGGTAACAAACAGCAACTGCTATTATGTATTTTCAGTTTAGAATGCACAAGATTTAGGAACCTTGCAGCAACACAGTAAAAGTGGATGCCAAATCTTACGGGGGGTGTCTTGTTTTTAGTCTGTGTGTTTCCTATGCGAACACTGAGCTTTGCTGGAAAGGCTGCAGCACTGTGTGGTCACTGCAGGATACAGTTGGCACAAGTTTGCTGGGCTGTGCAATCGACTGACTCAGTGATAATTTTGTTTACCAGTGACAATAAAAGCAAGATTATCCAGATACATTGTCTGTTTTTTTATTTGTGATCTCAATTTGGTATTAAGTATTTCTTCAGTCCTCCGTGCATCCCTTTCTCAAAGCTGTTCCTTCAGACTCTGTGTTGCTGGCATGCGCCTTTTCTTTTAGGGGAAAAAATGGGGAAACTCTCAGAATGGTTTTGCACTTTTAGTCCCTAGACAGTGCGTATCATTGTGGTGTTCAACAAATTAAGCCTGATTTGGTCAGAAAGGCCCGAGGGTGCAACACATAACTGGACACCCGTGACCTTTGACCTCTCAGACGCAGTGAATTTTTTTTTAAAATCAGCAGCTCGTGTAACCAGTTGGATTAAGGATCGCTGTGAATATTCTCTGTCAGGCATGACAGTACAGCATTATATTCCCAATCGTCAAAAATAACTTTACTGGGCCAAAAAGAGAAGCTCTAAGGTATCTGGGGTGACCATCATGGAATGAAAATTGGTCAGACATAATAATATTATGGATGAAATGGACACCTCATTCTCGACACAGATAACTAAAACACAAATAAAACAACCGTCCTAAGAATCTTTTAACAACGTCAATATGGCGATGATATGGGGTTGTACCAGTAACAGTTTAAACAAACTTCAATGTATGCTGCCTTTAAAGGGAAAGACCAAAAAAGCACAATATGCACATCCTGAGAAGGCATAGACAGTACAATGATGTCTTAATTAGTCCCCAGTATAAATGTATGTACAAAGGCAAAATAACTCCCAGAAAATGACCATACCAGATGACCTTTTTAAATTAGGAGAGGGAATACGGTAAGAAATAGTGTTTTTCAATATGCTGCGGAAAGGTAAAAGCTGATATAACAATTCTTTTGAACAACATCTAAGCTTATTTATGATTGGGAATTATTAAAAAAGGTTGCTGTGTAATAATCCAGTTAAAGTTGTGAATAATAATACTGTCAAAACAATTTGTTAGACCTTAATATTTGGGCCCAAAACAACTCCCATTATTTAACAGTTCAACATTCTATTGTAAAGGTTTCTATTTTTTTCTTTGACAATATATAAGATTAACTTAGTACATTCATTAAAGCAATGGTACTAGTGACCTGGAGTGCTGATCTTGTGGAGTTTAGAGCCAGGGGCTAATGATATCAGGCCATTTGAGGTAAAACAGTGTCGGTGGTGTGTGTGATAGAGAACAATCAAATCCAAATTTTACAAAAGAGAAAAAAGATTACCATAAAAAAGATTTTATTTTTTTAAAAATCACCTATTTACAATGTTACAGTGTTGCAAATTGCATCAGTTTCACAGAACAAAAAAATGACAGTGTTTCTGAAATGTACACTCATTCAGACACAACAGACCGTTTGATATTGAATTTCACGAGAGGATGATCATGCCGTTGTTTTTCACAGAACTCCATCTATAAAGCATAGATTCCCACACTGACGGTTGCCAGAGCTAAAAAGAGTCCCAGCACCATCCTGATCGGAGAGAAGCTGTTGACCATAGTTGGGATCTGGAGTGTTTTGGCAGTTATAGGTTTGGAGTGTGTTAAACGATCCTGCTGCTCATTTTCAGTCACATTCAGCATTTTCTGTAAGTCATCAAAGACCTGGAAAATGACAGATAGCGCCTTAGCGATTTGTAGCTAAGGGTAATCTTTTTCTCTATGTGCAAACGTCCTCCCTCCTTACCTGAATGTTTAACTCGAAGGCCCTGACGGCTTCCTCCAGCACTCCGTTCCTCTCCTCTTCTGTCAGCTCCACGCTGTTCATTCTGCTGCGATAGAGCTGCTTGAACAGGTTGGGGCTGGAAACCCCAGGGAAGGCGAAGAAGGACAGACCCTCCCCCCCTTTCAGCCCCATGGACTTTTGGGCGATCCGACTCAGAACCTGCCCCCCGGACAGGTCTCCAAGGTAACGGGTGTAAGCATGGGCAACCAGGTATTCGGGGTTCTCTTTACCAATCTAAAAAAAAAAATACACAGAGATAAGGACATATAATTGACATCATCCACCAGAAAAATTGCTCCACTGTGTGTGGACTGAAACTCAAACACACCTGTCGAAGTCTGTGGCAATATCTTTTAGTAGCGGCAGGAACAGCGACTTTTTCTTTCCAGTCTGGCCCGTAAAAGTATTCCAGGTCTTTTTCGATAGACTCCAACCTGGCCAGTTCAGTTGGGAAGTAAATGGGTGCCACACTAGGGTGGTTGGAGTTCCTGTCCAACTCTTCCTCCAAAGCCAGGTAGATCTCATAGAGGGAGCACAGAAGGAGCTACAGGGAAAGGAGAAGAGGTCAATCAAAGACGCTAAAACCCACACAAAGCTAAAAAATCATCTCTAATTTGGATTTGAAGTGCTCGTTACCTTATATTGTGGAAGTGTGACTTTTCCCCGCTGGAAGCTCAGCATCAGTTCAGTGTTTTCTGCTCTGACATGATTTTCCTTCGTGACTTTTTTTATTTGTTCCGACAGATCCCTGACGGAGGAAATGGATTGCAATCAGTACAGCAAAGTCAATTTAAAATAACTGCTAAATTACAAATGTGACAATTCTTACCTGTCAGTTATCTGCTCGGGAGCTTGAGTCTTTCTCTCTGATTCCATGATCTGAAAAAAAAAAGTAGTTAGAAGCATGACTTTATACATTAAAATAAATGATCTTACAGCTTCCTAATCAATAATCTTACGGGAAAGAATAATGCAGCTGTGCTGAACTCACCAGCTGTGATAAAGCTGTAATCCCCCAGATTTGATGGTTAGTCTTCTCTTCTCTCTCTCTGGATGTCCAGTCCACTTTGTGTGCCTTCAGTCCTCTTCCATTTTTATACTCTGCTCTGTTTCAGTCTCCTCCCCCCTATCTCGTGAATGAAAACAGGAACTCGGAGTCACAACACCCTGGCTAAACATGATGCAGCAGCTTCAGTGGGAACAGGAGGAGGGACTGGAAGTTACCATGATGCAGCGGCTTTGAGAAGGGCTTTGGAAAAAGGCTGAGGGAGGGACTCTGGGAAACCAGATGGGAGGTGGTGCCTAAGTGCTAAACATGACAGAGCAGCTTTGAGTTTCCAAAGTTCAACCGGATGAGGAGGAACCAGCGCTAAACGTGACTCCGAGAGTTTCTGGGGTCGATGAGGGAGGAACCAGCGCTAAACATGACTCGTGAGAGTTTCTGGGACCGGTGAGGGAGGACGTGTTGAAACAGTGACTAATTACAAACTAAAAGAATCCCATGACTGTATCGAGCCTGCTCGGTTCTCCAGAAAAATGAGCAAGTTTAACCACATTGCATGATCACTGTTGACTCTTGCAACATTCAGTCACTGTAAAATGTGATCGGAACAGCAATGAAAGCCCACTATAGCAATATTGTAAACATATGGTGAAACCTGCTGCTTCCTAAGTTTGTATCCATACTGTCTGAAACCGGGCACTGGAAATGATTATTATTATCAGCTGTTACTGGATAAACCAACAACACACAGCTATCCAAAAAGAAAACACTGCGACCCATCTGCAGTTTGCTGAAGAGCATGTGGAGCGGCCAGATGGCTGCTAGAAAATTGCTTTGTTTTAAAAGACAGAGAAAATGTTAAAGAGGAAGAATACACTGTACTGTATTCTCACCTTTAAAACATGGTTGTCATAGTGTGACAGGCATGATATCATAAATGATGCAACAATGAATGATCCGTATGAGTTCTAGTGAAAAATATTTGTGTATCTCTGTCTCAAGATACAGCAGTTATTACAGCAAAGTCATAGACCTTATGCATGAGAGTAATTCAGCCAAAGAAATTGTCAAAGAATGACATATAAGATAAGCAGTTCATGTAATGACCAACATGCTAGAAGCTGTCATGGGGATAGAGAGGAAAAGGGAGTGATCACTTTAGCCAATGTGTAGAAATGTCCATCCATCCGCCCATTATCTAAGAAGCTTATCCGTAGTAGGGTTGCAGCCTATCCCAGATGACAGTGGTCAGCCCTGGACACCCTGAGGTATACCCTGGACACTCTGGACCCTGCTAGTCCATTGCAGGGCCACACAGAGACAGACACAGAGACAACCATCCACACACATTCCCATTAACTCCTAAGGGCATTTTAGAGTGTTCAGTCAACCTAGTGTTAGAATTTGGCTATAATTACTCATTTTAGCATTGTATGCTATGACATAATCCATGTAAATGACTGATGTCTTATTCCTTTTACAACAATACTTTTGTGTTAAACTCTGTGTTAAACTGGCTGTACCCACAGATTCTCTTTTTCTATCTCTGTTGAAGTAAATGCACTTCTTTAGTTCGACACACACACACACTTTGTTACCACATTCCAATGTCCATCCATCCATCCATCCGTTATCGTAACCGCTTATTCCTTAATTGGGTCGCGTGGAGAACTGGAGCCTATCCCAGTGGTCAATGGGCGAGAGGCGGGGTACACCCTGGACGGTCCGCCAGTCCATCGCAGGGCAACACACTCACACTCACTCCTAAGGGCAATTTGGTATGTCCAATCAACCTAACATGCAGTTTTTTAGACAATGGGAGGCAGCCAGGGAACCCGCAGATAACCCCCTCGGACACAGGGAGAACATGCAAACTCCACACAGAAAGGTGCGAGAAAGGTCCCCTAGGACTCGAACCTAGAACCCTCTTGCTGTGACGCCATTCAAATATCATCTACATGAATTAGGACCTGGCCTGTTTATGTCAGAGGGAACTGGGAAATAGCCCTCGGTTGTGTCCAGTCTTCCTATTGAAGGGTATGAATATTTTCTCAGGTTTCCAACGAAAGAATCGGACTAACACTAACATGCTTGTTTTTGGATGCTGGAAGTATCTGGAGGGAACCCACATAGACACGGGAAGAACATTCCAAACAGAAAGGCCCCAGGTCCCCTGGGGATTTAAACCGTAACCATCTTTCTGTAAGGCAACAGCGGTAACCACCACACCATTGTGCTATTCTAGTTATGTCTAATTAATCTTAAAATTAATAACCCGCAATATTTTTTTTTCCACTTATTTAACTGGGTTCTGTTTATTGAACATTTTTTAGTTAAGTGAAAAATATTATTAAAAATTGAAGGATGTTTTTAGGCCATATTCTGCAGAAAATATACTTTTTCAGCTCTGTTGTGGTCAAGGGGACATAGGGAAACATTAATATAAGCTATGTTTTTACTTTGCAAACCTAACGTTTCTCAGAATAGATTTTATATGAAGGGTATGTGAACAGTATGTGCTGTCCGTCCGGTGAGGAAACAGTCACCTATTAAATCATGAAGTGTTGCCTCAGCACATCGAGACTCAGCACAACAGCTGAAAGGGAAAAGGAGGGGTAAACATGAGACGGCAGATCCCGTAACTTGACTGTTGATACGCGTATTCTCGCGAGAATACAACGGAGACAGGCCGTAATTAGACAACCCGTGTGTCGTTCACCCCGTGGATGAATTTTCTGTGGTTCACCCCCACTAAAAAAGACGTAAAATGAATTAATGCCGGCTGCAATTGACTACAAAGTCGTGCAGTAATATGGATACGACGTCAGACGCTGAATTTGAATCATGACGATGCGTTGAAGTTCAATACTCTTGCGTTTGATTGACGTTTACAGAAACAAAAATATCGGAAAGAAAAATACAAAAAAAGCCGGAAACTAAAAAAGTTACAATCACTCGACCGACAGCTCTAGTTTATTCACTATTACCAGTGTCGTTGAAATCAATCTATTGCACAACCAAAGTAAGTAACCGTCACATTTTTAACCTTGCTTCAGCATTTTCCTGCAAGACCTGTTCACAGAGTCATACCTGCTTTTTATTGCTTAATTGATGGTATCATGGCCCGCTTAAATCACGTGGGTCGACAGGATATGAGCATAAAAACTGATTATTTACTTAAACATTTTGTGACTATGATATGTCAGTTAAATATGGTTGGACTTGCCTTCTGATGGACAAAAAAAAAACATTAACCTAATAGAAAACATACAGTGGTTTAGGAATATGAACGGTACACTTTGCCTAAACGCTATTCAGTATTCACGCATTCTAAGGGGATCGGGCGCTACATGCCACACATTTGATATCTTAGAAATGAAATGTATCTTCTTCAACTGCTGTTACATTGTGTTGGGATGTGGGGACTGCAAAAGCCACAGCACTAGTGCCGCAAGAAGTCTGCCAAAAGATCTGCAGTATGAAAAACTCCGTAATTTCTCTGTCACTTCTGTTTGCATAGATGAATGGTGATCTCCACATAATGAGTCCCGGAGAAAAACAAAGGTTGTACAAATATTTTCTGGTAGATTTGGAGGACCTAAAGGAAGGAGACCTGCAGACTGAGGAATGTAGCAGCAAGAGCTTCCACCAGGTGGACGAGGTTGACTTTTTTTTATACATTTTATCTTCAGTTGCATTAAAGTATTAGGAGAGGAAGAAACACCTGTTTGGTCATCTTGGATGACTTGTAAAAAAAAAAAGGTTTCTGCTTACAGAAACTTAACATTATCATAGTAAGTCATAGTGTCATAGTCATGTGTTTTGAACAGATGACAGCATTATTGTGTTGCTGAGTTGTTTGTTTCTTTAGATGCAAAGATGTAATGTAACTAATTCTTTTTGTGATTATTGGTGTTGTTGATTACACTAAAAGAAATGTAACTTTTTCCATTTTTGTTTAGGAATCTAATGGCTCAATGAACCAGAGGTTACAAAATATTGGTAAGAAGTCAACTTTATCCGAAGCTCTCTGCTCCAAACCTGTGACATTTTTATTAGTTATGCAAGTTTTCAGCTAATCATGAATCTGTTGTGTACTGTTGGACATTCCATTAGTTCAAATTTATTTCCAGAAATATTTGGAATGTTTTTTTTAAGGGCAAACTTAAATCTGTCGTGTGATAATTTGATTTAATCTCTGAGACAGAAACTAAGTGTTTTCATCGTCTCAATTCACTACTTTTGATTGTATTTAGAAAAGAAAAAAAGAAAACATTTAGAGATGTTCAAAGTGTGACCAAGAAAGGTACACTTTTATGGAATTAACAATTTAATGCAGTGCATATCATAATTGATACAGAGTTCTAAGACCTATTGTACCTTCATATAGTCAAAACATTGTTTAATAAACAAACAAACTGGAATGTAGAATATTTCCTTGTATTTTGCATTTGGATAATAGTAAGAATGTTCAGAAAACATTTATTAAATGATTATTTATTTATAAAAAATCTAAATTAAAAAAATGTAACACATTTCTGTAAAATTTTACTGTTTGGTCAATAATTTATATGATGTCAGGATGTGAAGATTGGGCATTAAAACATCAGCCACTATTGGATTATACTTTCAAACGAAGAACGGTCATGGAAAACAATGCTTCGCCAAACTACCTGGGAATCATTCATATTGTCCAAAAACATTTTGTGGTTTAACATTGCTGAGGTCTTTCAACATCCACACAGCGGTATATGACGAAAAGATTCAGGGACTCTGGTGAAATCTTTGTGGATCTGGGCCAACACAGGAAAAAAATCACTGGCATGAATTACAGGTGAGACTTCCGCAGGCCAGTATAGTCACGTGGATTCAGGGTTAATTGGAAAATGACAACACACACCACTGCTTAATCTTTGAGTGTAAGTGGCTGCAAAATGGAGGATGCTGAGTATCACCTTTGTGCAGAAACGCTGCTAATCCCTCCACACTGTGTGCAAGTGTTTAATTAGCTCTGCCTACATCGTAGATCCCATATTGAAACCATGGCAAACCACGAAAAGGACAATCGGTCAACAACCATACCACTGAGCAGCTGAATCTTGTAAACAGTAAAATTGGACATGGAATCTGTGTGGTTAGAATCCTCAAGTTCCCAAGTAATTTATGATGCGTTTCATATTTGATTTAAAGGAAGATGTAACACGATGCTTCTGGTATATTAGGGCATTGCATTTTAAACCTTTTTTTTTTCATTTTCTAAATGAAAGTACGAAATTGGTCAGTGAAAGTTATTTAACTGGACATTTATCCATTAAACATTCAAGCAAACACAGATTCAAATGTCATTGCATAATTTTGGCTTCCAACTTTTTGGTCACAGCGTATATGATTTTGTTTTGTGTTGAGAAGCAGTTGTAGACACAAATGGATTATAAAATAGCCAGAGGAATGGTAAATATTCAAAACCTGATTTTGGTCTTTATTGTGCAGAGTCCTCTGGTATCTTCCCTCCATGTCCACTCTTCGTATCTCAAGTCAGATGGACAGAGAGAGAAGTGAGACGACATGCCCTGCGGAAATGACTTCAAACGCAGTTTGTTCTTGGGCTGAATTTGTAGTAAAGTGTTGATTAAATTAACGAATGGATTTACAAAGTATGTATGAATGACTGCATACATGTGTAGATGTAAATATACATGTTTTATGCTGTTTGTTGTATTCACATTGCACAGCAGAGGGCAGCACAGGACTGGTGAATATCTCTAAAGTGATTTGGAGCTAAAAGATTTTTTTCATTTCTTGTTTTTCATCATTTATCTTTCCACTAGGAAAGCCCAATACCTACAGAGGAGCACAGGGAATGTCTAGATAACCAGCACAACATGGCAGAAGGTCAAGAACAGAAACCTGTGTCAGACAGGCAGCATGTGTCCGTACCTGTTTCTGTCTCCCTGGCAGCCCTCGCTGGTCCTGAGGTATCTGATGTCATCTCTGATGTATGCAGTCCATTTGGTTCTTTGTGCAAGTTTCCTAGTTCTGCACTGAAAGTTCTTAGTTATTCATCCGTTAGTCTTTTCTCCTTTGACCAGGATCCGGTTAGTGCTGCGGCTCACTTGCATCTCTTAGGGGAAGCTTTGTCTCTGATTGGACGCCACCTTCAGGAGACAAATGTAAGTAGATTGAATGCCTCATTTCTATGTAAAGGATTCCTTTAGGTTTTATTTTACTTTAACATGTATATTATGTCTAGACTTTATGAATCAGCAAAAAGAATGATACATTTATCAAAGAATTTAAACATTTCATTAATTAAATGTGTATGAAAGTGAAAAAGCAAATGTTGAAATAGTCAAAAGCTTAGATTTTATGAGAAATATATTTTAAAGATGTATGCCAGCAGCAATTTTAAGGCATTTAAGGACATTTTAGTTTGAACACTTAATAGAACAACTCAGAATTAATCATTTTGTTAACAGCTTTACTATTTAAAGAAAAAGAAAAAAACATCTAAGAAAAGGCCAGGTCCTTGCGGAGGTTTTTCCCCACTTTGTTAAGCACCAAGTGGAACAATGGAAACACAGACCTTTACCATTACTTTCGAAGTTCCTCAGGCTAAAAAACGTCCTTTATCAGTAAGCCATTTTAGTTTTGAAGGTCATCTCTACATCACATTTCCAGTTCAGAGCAGAAACATGGAAAAATAATTCTCTGTTACCTCCACCCAACTTCAAGTTCGAATCACGTTGGATCCACTTTACCGAAGAAAGTAAAAAGTTTAAACTAATCTGTTTCACTGTTAAGTTGAAATGTCATTATTAGTTTTATGGTTTACAGAAGATAATTTTGAGGATATAATGCCCTCTTTGGGACTCAAACCACAACACATGCCAGTCATGTTTTTCTCAGTTTAGTGCTTGTCATTCTAAGCAGGGTGCATTTTATGTTCGTGTTTAAGCTCTGGTAAAAAGGGTAATGATCATTTTCAAGGGACCTGCTGATCTCTAAAGTTGAATCAGATTGAAGAAAGGAGCCAAGTGGGTCTGTCCATGCACTAAAACCTGTCAAAGTTAAGTGGTGAATGTTCATGATAGAAAAACGAGCTGTGTTTGTGTCAGTGGGTCAAAGACTTATGTCAAAGGAAATAGTTTTGTATGACGGATGACCTAATGCAAATTCAGTCATCTAATTTGAGTAAACCTTGATTAAAAAAAAAAAAGAAAAGGCAAACAAGATTGTGCAGGAGACATCCTCTGAGTCAGGAACTCGCTGTGTCAGCAAGTGCAGGTTAAAACTTGTTCAGGAAAAACGGAACCTCTCCTCCTTCTCTGAGAATGAGTGCAATTGGGAATAAGGTCAAGAGGAAAAGTGTCCTGTAAATTAATTATTTGAAATTGAATTAGTCCAGATTATGCTGTATACCCTCCCCTGAAGAGTCTTTGATGGCAATGGCGATGCTATTAGCATGGATAATGCAAAATTAAAGGTATCACTGAATTGATCTGCCTGACGTCAAGATCTGCCATCTAATGAAAACTTTGTATTTTGTAAAACAAAGCATCAGAGACTGAACTGCTGATCATGTTAAATAATTTAGTACAAATGG